ACCCAGAAGAATGGAAATCACCATGCTGAAGTGATACCTGTATACTCCAATGTTTATTGCAGCTCTATATAAATAGCTAAGCTGGAACCAGCCCAAATGTCCATCATCTGACGAGTGGATAAGGAAACTGTGGTACAGAAAAAGAATGAAATACTACCATTCACAACAACATGGATGGACTTAGAGAAAATTATTTTAAGTGAAACAAGTCAGGCACAGAAATAGAAATACCACATGTTCTCACTTATTTGTGAGAGCTAAAAACTACTAAATAAACACACAAACAAAGGGTGGAGGTGGGGGGAAGAAGACAGAATAACCACAAAAATTCCTTGAACTATTTAAGTCAAGTGAACAAATATGATGTCAGGGGGGATGGGGTGGAGAGGAATGGGTAAAGGGGCATGAAAATTAAGAACAATGTATTTTGAGAAGTAAAATAAAATAAAATAAAATAAAAAATTTTTTAAAAATCAGGGCTGTGAAAAAGGTTTTCAAGTTGGAACAGAGACATAAAGTTAGAAATTTACCATTATTATAAAGAGAAGATCATGTCTACACTGAAAATGACAATTGCAGGGAAGAGGACAGCAAAGTTAGACAAATGGGGAAAAGAACACACACACAGAAGTAGGGGAAGAAAAAGCAAACAGGGAGAGAGAGGCAGAAATGTCCTGTCACATGGTAAAGGCAATACATATTTTGAGGGTGGAAAAGCATCAGAGGAACAATGACTTAACCGTTCATCACGCATCCCAGAAAAAAAAAACAGAACCATGAAAAAAGCACCAAAATACACACTAATAGCTACACACAGGTGAAAAGCTTGAAAACTAAAATAAGTAGCTAGGGAAAATCATCTGTAAACGGCCAGAGAAAGGGGATATATAAGACAACTGCATTTCACCTCCACTCTTCCTTCACATATGAGGAAGAGCTGTTATTCTCCTGACCACTCATCAAATTTTCAAACAATATATATAAACAAGAAAGAGAGTATAAGGCCTTGGCATTCCAAAATGAAAATTGCAGATTAAAGGCATACAACATATCAGTAAAGATAATTATCCAACCAGTCATTTATTTAGAGACATATGATAAGAAAATATTGTAGAATGTTAGTTTACATAAAGATAACACAAATGTATACACATGCATATTTAATGTAAACTACCATAGAGTCAGGAAAACTAATATAAACTTTCAAATAGCAAGACCACTGTTTTCCCTCTAGAGGGCGAACATGGTCTTCTGGAAAAACTCGACAAGAGACGTTACTTTCAGATATTACTAAAAAGAGGAGCTAAAATTTACAATGTCATAATAGTAGAGGTTCCCAACCTTTCTTGGTTAACAATGCACTTGGTGTCTCAGTAATTTTTTCTCAGTACCTCCTAAAACAAAAGAAATACCTAATGGTTCTGTTTAATAAGTAGCTGTGTCCAAACAACTTAACAAGGATTTATTTCTTAACAGTTAGTAACCTTTTAAAAAATAATACACGTAAATTGAAAGAAAAAAGTTTTATTTCATTCTTAAATAAACACAATTAATTACTAATTGAACATGTATGCCTATTGTACACTGCACAATTTCTTAAACCTTTAATTCAGATTAGACCCTCATTTCTAGTCCCATACTGATTTTTGTACAGTATCTGAATTTTATCACAGCAACCTTATAAAAACCAGATTTACAAAGATATGTCACAGAAAAGGCTATAGCACTACTTAATGTTGAAACTGTGTATTAGTTCAAGTTAACAGTCTGTACCATATCCAACAGATGTAGAGTATCACTGAGTTTGCCTCAAAAAATTTAAATATCCCATGGTTCCTTGCGCATTAGCTGCAGCACACCAAAGTGCCTGGGCTCACGGCTGGGGAATCATGGCACTATAGTTTTAAATCCCAGCAGCTATATGAACTATTTACTATTTTAATTACTTAAACATAAAATTAACTACAATGTTTTAAAGATCTAAAAATTATTTTCCTATATTACTTGAGAAATCAGTTTTTCTTTGGAGCAATAAACACTATTAAATCCTTAAAAGGAAGATATTTATTCCTATTTGAATAATGATTATTGCCTTAATGTGATTATTTTTATAACTGCTGGTTGTGTTAAATCTGGTAAACCACAATTGGGAAGGAGAAAACCAGGAAATGTATTATATATTTTCTTCTGAACAAAAACTTCTCTGAACTCAAATCACTACAAATAGATCCGGTATCACTACTTTCCAGTCTCACTGATCTCGTAACCAGAAGCACAAGTTCAGGAGTCAAATAAGATCTGAAAGTCTTAACACAAGAATATGTACAGTCATAGAGATATTAGAAGAACTGGCTTCTAAATGACTAGAAACCAACTGTGTACCAACCCTTCTCACTAATGAAGTCCTTGGTTTAGGCAGAATACCAGAAAAGTGATAAAGAAAAAAGTTCAACCTCAAAATCTACTCAGTTTTTGCTTTTTACTGTTTATCAGTTCACAACTACCAATATTCATAAAATCTGTGTCACTGGCAAATGCTACCAAGTTCAACTGGAAGTCAACATATATGGTGAGAGTAACTAAGTTTTTCTTTAAAAAAAAAGCTCTCCAAGGAATAACTGGGAAAGAAAATCAATGTTCTATTACTTTAAAAAATTTTCACAATCATAAAAGATAATAGAAAATATATGGTCTTTTCTTAAAAAATTAAGAAGGTTATTATAAATAGCTATAATCCCACAAGTTTGTATCTAGAAAAATAAGAATGAAAATGGAATATGTTAATCACCAAAAAAAAAATGCTTGGAAAGCTAGGACAAATTACATGGTATATTAGTACTTACCTGCTGAATGGTTTTAGAAGTTTTCTGAATATTCTCTCTAGGAGGGACTTTACCAAATAATTTCCAACCAGGAGCACTATGAACAACTGATTTAAGTTCCTTTGTCCTTTTTGGAAAAAGGTTTCTGAAACACAGAAAAGTTACATGAATTGTGTTTTTTGTAACCAGGACCAAGGCAAATATAAACTACTTTTAAATAAAAGTATTTCTACTACATATACTGCTATTACTTAGACCGACAAGATTCAATTAAGAATACCTGGCTTATATAGAGATATTAGAATATTAGAACAATCATCAACAGAGATACTAAAGAGATAAACAAATTGGGAGAAAAATGACAACCATAAATAAAATGCAAATATTTCCTTTAAATTAGCAACAAAGCATACTAGAATTGATGATACACATACTTGACATTAACAGCCAAGAATATAAGAACAAAAAAGATTAAAAGAATCTATATATAATAGTTAAAGGATTAAGTAATACAATAATTGGAAAAATACTATTTAGTTACTTGCAGTAAAAATTTGTTATTTATCATAAAACTACATCTTCTGATCCCCCCAAAACTATAATATGTGTACAGTTGGTCCCTGCCTTACAATGGTTTGACTTAACAACTTTACAATGGTGTGAAACCATTGTTTTTCACTTTTACTACATGAGATAGTCAACACTTTATTATGAAATAGGCTTTGTGTTAGATGATCTTGTAGGCTAATGTAAGTGTCCTGAGTATGTTTTAAGGTAAGCTAGGCTAATCTATGATGCTGGGCAGGTTAGGTGTATTTAAGCATTTTCGACAAGGTATTTTTAACTTACAATGTGTTTATCAGGACATAACCACATCCTAAGTCAAGAAGTATCTGTATATATAAACTGTTTTTCTTCGAACAGCTATGTACAAGAAATCTTATAGTAAGATAGTCAATATACAACCAAGGAGGAAAGTTATCTCTCAATGAAAAATCTTTAAAAACCTGCACAAGTTTCGAGGATTTAACCTATTATCTCTATGCCCTAACCAGCCAAATTAAGTACCTATTTGCATATGTAAGCAAGGATGATATTCAAAATATGTACCCATCAAAATAGCATGACCAGAGCACCGAAGACCATTACAAAAGGTACTGATGAATCCAACTGAGTTATCAACCTTTTTTATAAGCTATTAAATAGACATTAAAACGTTTTAATTTCCAAGGTGTTGCATTCAATTCAAGGCAGCTTCCTTGTTCTGTTAATTAAACTTTGGGACATGGAAATGGTCTAGGGGAGATGATCAGATAGAAAGTATTATTCTATTCATTTAACTCCCAGCCTACAAAATGCCTTAAAAAAAAGAAAAAAAATGAAAAATTGTAAATTCACACATACAGTTAGTTACAGTTTCAAATTATTTGAAGTCCCAAGTCACTAGGTTTGTATACATTCAAAATAGCATATATCTTAAAAGTTCAGTATATTGATAACAGGAAATAAGTTTTTAATGCACGATGTTAAGGGACTCCCATGAAAAAATGTGGGCTAATTAACAATAAAGAAGAGAAACACTCTCATTTGATCAGGTGTGCAATGGAGTGAGTAAATGACACTGTAGAGCAATTTCTACTAGAGATACTCTGGAGTTTTCATCTCAGAGACCATACACAGTGATTTAATTATCTACTTCATAAGATCTCTAGGTTGGAGGTTTTCAATAACGGATATGCTGAGGACTAATAATACTTAAAAGAAACAATTTCAAACCTCATTTTAAATGGTTATTAAGTTAAACAATATTTAATATGTCGTGTGTCATTTATCAATTAATTGCCTATTAGCTAGCTCCATATTCACCCTTTAATATGTGCTCTGTGATGACAGACAGAATTCCTTTAAACATTTCTCCTTAAAATTAAGGAGCTTTCTCAGTAGAGGGCACCAACAAGATGTTAAAGGAGAAAGGGCTCTCCTGTGGTTTCCGGTTCCTGTAGGTCAGTACTACAGGTGTGAGGATATCCAGTAAAACTCTGCTTAGCCACATGCCCAGACTGTGTAGTCCCTCAACAAACTTGTAACCTTGGCAAACCTGCAGCCTCAGCCTGGAGATGGCTTTTCCACAGTCCTCTCCACATGGAAACTGACCCAGCCAAAGGCTTCCTGCGAGCAACAGTGTGCCAATTCCTTCTGCAAGCCTCACACAGCCCACCTGTACCTCTCTCCCCACCCCAGATAGTTCTCACCAAGCCATATTCCCTCTACAAGCCCCCATGTGACCTGCCTGCACCCAAAGGTTTTCCATCTACCCACACTAATAAACAGGAGAAAATCTTTGTCACCATGTTTTATGCAAAGAATTATTACATACGACACCAAAAGTATGATCCATTAAAATAAAAAATGATGAACTGGGCTTAATTCGTTTAAAACATTTGTACTTCAAAAGTCATCACTGATGCAAAATGGCATAATAGGAAGATCTAGGGATTAGTCCCTCCATCAAACTAAAAACTGAGCTAGAAAGAGCAATTGGAATCAAGTACTTTAGAACTCTAGAAACCTGATCAGATACTTTTAATGACTAGAGGTTTGCTTGATGAAGGGAGAGGTTACTGATCTTTCATAAGTGAACAGTGAAAACAACTACTATCCCCCTGACCCCTACCCAACCTCACCTGGCAGTGGGATAACAGCCCAATGTCCTGGAATGGCTAAGTGGTACTAGTGGGGACAGTGGGGATCATGTCTTTCAAAAATTTGAGGTTGTGCATTTTCGTTGGTCTGGCAGTGCTCTAAGGGACCAGCCCAGACACTTGCATCAGTTTCAGTCCTTTCCACAGCAGTGGCTTTCACTGGTAGTATCTATCAGAGCATTAAAGGCAGTAGAACCCTCTTCTGGGCCCCTTTTTGGAGCCAGACGTTTAAGGAAATCATTGTCATGTCACCAGCTGACCACATAGATAACAGAACAGAAACTTGTGATCATACACAAAAAGAAATACACACTTTCCAAAATTGGCTTGGAAAAGTCACAAACACATCGCTTCAGCCCTCAACAAGCAAAAATCAGCAATTGCTGAGGAGTAGGAAAAACAGATTTACAGAGTTACCATGTTATAACACTCATAGTGTCCAGTTCTCAACAAAAAATTACAAAACATACAAAGAAGAAAGTATGGCCCATTCGGAGAAAAAGAATTTGACAAAAACCATCCCCAAGGAAGTCTAGCCAACTGGAATTACTAGTCAAAGACATTAAATCAACTGTCTTAAAAATATGTTCTAGGAGCTAAAGGAAACCATGGAAAAAGAACTAAAGGAAATCAGGGGGAAAATATATATATAAACAAAATGAGAATATCAATAAAGACAGAGAAATTGTAAAAGGAACCAAACAGAAATTCTGTAGCTGAAAAGTAGAATAACTAAAATGAAAAATTCATTAGGGGAGTTCAACAACAGATTTGAACAGACAGAAAAAAGGATTAGCAAATTTAAGATAAGACCATTGAAATTATCCATTCTCAAGAGTAAGAGGGGAAAAAAGACTGAAGAAAAAGGAACAAAACCTGTGTGACAAGTGTAGCAAGATATATACCATAGTAGTCTCAGAACAAGAGAAAAACAAAGGGGCAGAAAAAAATATTTGAAAAAATAATAACCCAAAACTTCTGCAAACTTATGAAAGACATGATCCAAAAAAACCAACAAACTCCAAGCAGAATAAACTCAATAAGATTCACACTGAGATGCATTGTAGACAAATTTTTGAAACCTAAAGATAAAGAGAATTATGAAAGCAGAAAGAGAGAAGCAACTCATCGCAAGCAAGGGATCCTCAATAAGACTAATAGTTTATTTCTCATCAGAAACCATGGAGGCTAAAAGGCAGTGGGATGACATATTTAAAGTCTAGAAAGAAAAAAAAAAAAAAAACTATCAACCAAGATTTCTATATCCAGTAAAACTATCCTTCAAGAATGAAGGAGAAATGAAGACATCTTTAGATAAACAAAAGTTGAGAGAAATTTTTTCCAGTAGACCTGCCCTACAAGAAGTTCTAAGAGAGTACTTCAGGCTGAAATTAGACAGACAGTAACTCAAAGTCATGAGAAGAAATAAAGAACACGGGTAAAAACAACTACATAAGTAAATATAAGAGCCAGTATTACTGTACATTTTGTTAGTAACTCCTCATTTTTTGTATATCATTTAAAGGGCAAATGCATAAAATATTTATAAACTTACGTTAATGAGCACTGATAGAATTTGGACGTGTTGTCCCCGCAAAACTCATGGAAATCTGATCCCCAATGTGACAGTTTTGGAAGCTGTTTGAGTCACGGGGGCAGATCCCTCATGAATGGATTAATGCTATCCCTGAGGGTCCTGAGTGAGATCTCACTCTATTAGTTCCCATGAGAGCTGGTTGTTTAAAAGACCCTAGCACCTCCTCTTTCTTTCTCTCTTGCTTCCTCTCGCCATGTGATCTGCTTGTCCTGTTGGCTGCCTGCTGCTTTGCAAGTAGAAGCAGCCTGAGGCCCCACCAGATGCAGCTGTCCAAGAATCATAAGCCAAATAAACCTCTGTTCTTTATAAATTACTCAGTCTCAGGTATTTCTGTTATAGCAACACTAATGGACTAACACAGGCCAACAATGTACAAAGATGCAATCTGCAGCAATAATAGTATGAAGGAAAAGGGATAGGGATGTATAGTAGTATAGTGTTTGTACACTAATGAAACTAATTTGGTATTAACCAAACTAGGCTTTTGTAAATTTAAGGTATTAATTGCAATTCCTAAGGTAATTACTGAGAAAGTAACTCAAAAATATACAGAAAAGGACCACTGAAATTATCCATTATCAGGAGTAGAACGAAAAAAGAATGACAAAAGGAATCAAATAGTACACTACAAAAATTCAACTAAGTACCCCAAAAAAAGGCAGTAATGGAGAAACCAAGGAACAAAAAACAGATAACACATACAGAAAACAAATAGGTAAATGGCAGAAATAAATCCTTCTTTCTCAGCAATCAATTTTAGTACACAAGACTCTCCTACTGAAAGACAGAAATCAGCATACTGGAATAAAAACATGATCCACTTATATGCTATCTACAAAAGACACA